TTCCGTTTTGGTATTCTGGCATGTTTTTCTCCTTTATCCTCACCAACTTCCGTTCCAATATTTGGCGGTAAGGATGATTTGTTGGTGGAGCTACGACTATGCCTTATTCGACAAAGAGAATAATTTCTTTTAAGCGGATTTTTATCACTAGTTTGTTCTACAGGTAACGTATCACTTTGTACTTTCTTGTCTGCAGTCCAACTTCTAGATTTTGAAAGGGGCATCACGAGAGGCATATCACTGCTCTCAAATAATTTTCTTGGAAGATTATCATTAGCCTGCTTTCGGGGCCGAATAACTACTCCATTGGTCGGAGAGAATTGTTTTATATCATCTCCTTGGATCAGGCGGTCATCTCTCGCTTCTTTATTGTCGTATCGCGGAGATATTACTTTTTTATCTTCAGGATGCGTCTCAGAACCAATACGCAAAATAAAGCCGTCTTGTATCGCTTTATCGAAACTTCGGCCTTTACTAGTCAATTCTGTGATTTCGAACGGCTTCACTTGTAAATTTGCTTTTCTCAGTTGCTTAGGAAATGCTTCTTCTTCCGGTCGATTTTCAGACGTCGAAGTTTGTTGGGTAATCTGATGTATATTCACACCAAAGTTGTATCGTTCATTTTCACAATTAAAAGGCGTTTCTAATTCTCTGTCGTGAGTTCTTTTTTTTGGTTTAAGTTCAAGATGGTCCGACAGACTAATACGTGGAATTTTGATACCACAGTTTACCTTAATTGTCACAGGCCAACACTCGGTTCCAGCGGGAAATTGACTCTGGTTGACGGAATCACTACTTTTCACTTCAGAGGAATTTATACATCTTGTAGAAACAGATATCGGCAATGAATCATAGAAACGATAGCTCTCAGTTACTGAATTATTTTCTGCTTCATTCTGCTCAGAGTTGTAAATTTTATTCGTATTTTTACAATATTGATCGTTGTTTGATTTGCATGAATTTGTAGAGAAAGTAGTTTTTTGGTAAAAAGAGGGAACTCTGCGTAACCGGCACGCTGCTCGATACTCCAGCGATTTCACACCGCAAGTTCGGTTTCTATTTGTAGAAGCACGAAAGTTGTCGCAATCATAAGGGGGTAATTGTTTGTGGGAGTTTGGATGTGGCAAATTAATGTATGGTTGTTTTATTTTTGACACTAAGGGAACAGTTTCCGGTGATGGGATGCTCCTGACGGCATTTATATCATCTCTCCAACGGAGTTTTTCTAAAATAGTTTTCCGCTTTTTCTCTTGGGCTCCATTGTGTCCAATCAGAGCCGTACAATCATGACTGGATCTTTGGCTTTTTTGTTGCTTGAACCCCTCATTATTTACAGAGTACCATGGATTACAAAGAATTTTTTTTTTTTCAGCCTCGTTGTAGGTAAGTAGCTTGTCGTCACCATTGCTGTTCCATTTATGCAGGAAAGACTGCGACAATGTAGCACCACTGTACTTTTTGGTCCAGTAGTCATATAACGCTGGCCGTTGTCTGATTTCTGAGAAGGACCTCTTTATTTTCTGAACTTTTACTGGCGAATCATTTCGTGATGACTGACCACCAAAAGCTGGCAAAGGTTTACTTGCAGGGGCGACAAAACTGTGCCGGTATCGAGGAGGGGAAGAAAAATGCCACAGAAAGTCTTTGTTGATATCTGGCATATCAGCAACACCTAATGGGCCATTTTACTAAACAAAACGACATATCAGTAAAACGCGTTTCGGAAGTTTTACGACTCAGGTTTCTACATTTGTAATCCAATTATAGATTAGAAGACGTTTACAGACTTAGCATTTCAAAAACGGGAAAAAAGAAGTAAAACTGTTATAAAAATGCATTAGAGGCACAATTTAAAATAAATGAGAGAAAAATTCTTGTTCACATGAAACAGGGAATTTTATCGATTGTTGCATATAAGACATTTTATTTATAAATATTTAAAGCAAGTTTTAGTATTTAAGAACAGAAAAAAAATTTATAAACCATAATTAATATAGCATTAGATGTGTAAGATCTAAAAAATGGTAAGGAATAGTATAATGAAGAATATACGCTTTGCTATAGTTGCCATATGACGAATATTCATGACAGTGGCGGTCAAGCAAGAAAGGTGAAGGAAAAATTGAGTAAATTTTTTTAAGGAGGCTTGATCTGGGGATTGATGGCTAACTGGAAACCCGAACTAAGGCCAACAGAAACGGTAAATGTTTGAGTACGAATAATAATAAAACGTCAATTTGACAGTCTTGGTTTGTATCTGTATTAATATTGTTAGTGTACGCAGCTAACGACGTATGTCTCATTCCAGTTCTTATAGGTCGATTTCGTTGAGTTCAGAAGTAAAAAAAAAAATAGGAAAAAAAAACGAAAAAAAAGATAAATAAATATGGAAAGAAAAAAGAATTTTTTGCTTTTTCATCCATGACTGTTGGGTCACCATATTTGATGATGTAAAATTTTAAGTTTGAAAAAAGGAATGGAAAACCAACACGATTTATTCACAAGTAACAAACATGAGAAATTTACGCCGGTTCTCAGTTCGTATGTCTAAATGAAAAGAAGGCGGGTTAGTGGTGATGAAGAAAATTCAAATCCCTAAAACTTGCTCATGAAAGGTTTTAGAAAAAGTAGGGATGACCAATGAAGTGGAGGTATCGGTGAGGTCATCGTCGGCCTAAAAAAATTCATAAGGTTTATGCTATTAGTCCTATTTGCTCAGCTAATTACAATTTTTTGTTATTAATAACAACGAAGTTTAATTGAATAGGTAAGAATGACAGACTGACAAAAAAGATTTTTTCCGGTGCTTCTTCAAAAAAAGAAGAAAAACGAGAACTGATGTATGTGTTAATTTATAATGCATTTTGTGTATCTTTTTTCTTGTAACTTGCGTAGATTATAGATGACTTAAAAATATTGAATGAGAGTTGGAGTGAGTTAGGTGGAGAATAAGCAAATGTATCTTATGGCGACGCTTCAGGTGTCACAACGAAGCTATCACCTTCAATTAGTCTGTCAAAAAGAAAAGAACCGGATACTGTCATTGTTAATACTCTATTTCCCGTTCTTTGTTTTTAGCTCAAATATAGTGTGGAAAGAAAGCGACTATAATGTCAGGTATAGCAAAGTTATTTTATGTTTTCACATTGCTTTTTTCCTAACATTATAAATTTAGCAAAGAATGATATGGGTAAAAAATGAAGGATTAAGCAATCACTGTTTGTCAGGGTTGATTTTAATGGTAAATAGAGGGCGGAATTGGAAAAAAATTTTTCTGAAAGATATGTAGACTATTTAAGAAATTTTATAAATTAGATACGCAATGATACGTTAAAAAAACTAATTAGTCTGTTTATTTTCCTTATTATTTTTTTTTAGAAGAGTTTTTCTTAAGAACAATTTGACAGTTGTTCAGTGGTTACCATAAAATAATTCGTTTTTTTGGTGGCCAAAAAAGTGGTAAAAGCAAAGACAAAAAAATTTGCTGCTTTAATAGTTTTAAAACTAATAGTTATTTGCGTCTGTTCCACTGGTGTTACAATTCTTACCATTCGTGTATGAAACAGACAAATGAAGGAAAATGCGGGGTAAAAAGAGCAAAATAAAACAAAGTATAATTATAAGGTAGAAATTTAAAAAATTTTTAACGACAACAAGAAATATGTTGGTAAGTGGACAGTTTGTTTTTGTTTTTTTTTTTT